TTCACCATAATTTATATAGTTCTAAATTGTTGAACGTAGGAGTAAGCTATACTAATTTCAGACAGAGCATATTCCTTTTTTTTTTTAAAGATTTATTTATTTATGCATACAAGATCTGGGGGACAGGCCAGAGGTGAGAGGTATGAGAGGATTCACTAGAGACAGAGTAGGGAACAGAACACGCAGATCCACTGAAATACACTGCTAAGGGGAGCAGCGGGCAAGTCAGGAGAGGTCTGCTGTGCCATATGGGTATCTCCCTGGCCAAGGATCGAACTGGTGCTGCAGTGGCTGTGGATTGCTTCACAGGTTGCATCTTAACCCCTTGGACCACCAGGGAGGCCCAGTTAGAGCATATTTCGAAGCAAGGAAAAAAAGCTATCACATTACATAATAATCAGGGGTCAATTCTTCAAGAAGACATATTAATCCTAAATTTAATATAATTACAAAGAAAAAATAGATAAATCTGGTATCATAGCTGGAGACTTCAACACCTCTTGATCAGAAATGGACAGATCCAGCAGGCAGAAAATCAGTAAGGACACAGCTGAAATCAAGAATGCCACAAATCAACTAGAGGTAATTGGCATGTATAGAGTTTTTCAATCAACAACAGTAGGATACACATTCTTCTCAAGTTCACAGGGAACATTCACAAAGATATACCGCATTCTGGCCCATAAAACACACTTTAACAATTTAAAAGAATAGAAATCATATAAAATCTGCTCTCAGACTACAACTGATTTCTGTACTCAGAAATCAGTAATGAAAAGGTAACTGAAATGTCCCCAAATATGTGAAGATTTAACAAGACACTTCTAAGTAACACATGAGTCAAAAAGTCTCAAGAGAAATAAAAAAAAATTTGAATTAAATGAAAATGAAAAATCAGCTTTTCAAAGTTTGTGAGGTGCAGTGAAAGCAGTATTTAGGGGAATATTTATTGCATTGAATGCATCCATTAAAAAGAAAGATAAAATAATAAAGGAAACTAGTAAAGAAGAGCAAACTAGATCTAAAGTAAGTTGAAGAAAAGAAAATAATATGAAGTAGAGTAAAAAGTAATGAAATTGAAAACAGGAAATCAATAGAGAAAATCAACAAAACAAAAGCTGATTCTTTGATTTAGAAATTGGCCTCATACCAATCCCTTTTCTTTTTCAGGTTTTGTTTGTTATAGGGGTTTAAGCTTTACGGATTCCATTACAAACGTTTCATAAAACCTCAGGATATCATTTTTTTAGAATTGCTTATTTGACAAAACTATAGTTTAAGTCATTTTCATTTAAAATTCCTGTATTTAGTTCTATTCTTAGAATGTGGCTTGATGAAAATCAAAGTTTAGTGTTTGAGTCAACATTTTTTCTCAATATTGTCATTTTATGCTTTAAGATTCAGCAGTTAAGTTTTTCGACCACACCTTTGTATTTTTATTTAAAAAGGGTTTTTACATTTTTATGTGAAAGCAATCCTTTTTAAAGACTATTTGTACTAACTCAAACTTGGGTTAGATTTATCAATAATAAAAAATGTAGCATACAATAATGTCCTTTCCTAGGCCTCCCTAGTGGTGCAAGGGGTTAAGGACAGCACTGTGAGCTAACTGCAGTCTCTACAACAAGAGTTGGATCCCCGGTCAGGGAGCTACCCACATGGCACAGCAGACCTCTCCTGTCTCACCCGATGCTCCCTCAGCAGTGTATTTCAGTAGATCTGCCTATTTTGCTCCCCGCTCTGTCTCTGGTGGATCCTCTTACCCCCTCACTTTTGGCCTGTACCCCAGTTCTTGTATGCATAAATAAATAAATCTTAAAAAAAAAAGTTCTTTCCTAACAAAACACCGAAATTTTGCCTTCGTTTCCTGCAGTAGATTAAATTCCTGAGCTCTCACTATTGACCCAATGTTGTGCTAAGTACATCACATGTGTGAAAACACACACACACGATTGAGTTAATCTTCCAGGGTGGGAATAGCCTCATCACCGCAGTGCCACTTCCACACTAAACGGGAGGACACATGGGAGACAGCAAAAGGAGCCCGATGAAGGGATCTGTCTGAGAGCCCAGCATCTTTCTCATTATCCTTTATCTCTTTAAAAGTTTTCTTTTCTGGACCTCCTTGGTGGCACAAGGGGTTGAGGACAGCACTGTAAAGCTGTCCGCAGCCTCTGCAGGATAAGTTTGATCCCCGGCTGGCCAGGGAGCTACCCACATGGCTCAGCAGACCTCTCCTGTCTTGCCTGCTGCTCCCCTCAGCAGTGTATTTCAGTGGATCTGCCTGTTCAGCTCCCGAATCTGTCTCTGGTGAATCCTCTCACCCTCCCCCCTGCCCCTGCACCTCTGGCCTGTACCCCAGTTCTTGTATGCATAAATAAATAAATATTTTTTTAAAAAGTTTTCTGTCAGACTGAGACACTTCTACTAGGTTTAAACAGATCATGTTTGGTGGTAAGGAGTAAGGTAACTTTAAACAATATTTGCAAAATGGAAAGAAATCAAATGCTGTCCCCATAATATTTGGAACTTTACATCTTTCTAAGACCGTGGAATTCTTTTTGCATTTTTCGATCCCTGGAAGAATTTGAAGGGTGAGAGTATAAATATGCTGGAGAAATTCAACTTTTATATTATATTTATATGAAGCCCTAAAGTTCTTAAAAGTGCCACATTTACTTCATTCTTTGAAAATGACAAAACAAGAAATTATTTAGAAAAGTGAGAAGTCTATATACTTTGGATTGAATGTATATGCATAACAGAACATCCAATGAGATATTCCATTGTCCCAGAATTGTGATGAAAACAAGAGGCACTGACTCTACCTCATTCTAAGTGCAGAGAGTGCCAGAACTTGGGAGCAACCAACATATACCTCCTTCCTCAGCCTACTGAAAGGAGTCAAAGAAGAAAAGTGGACTCCTCTTCCCACTTCCTTTTAGGAAGTTGAACTTGGGAGTCTTGTTAACCCATCTCTGGTTATGCTAGAAAAAAAAATCAAATAATTAAAGAGAGATGCCAGGGTCTGCATGTTGGGAAGGTAGGGCAGAGACCCCACCTTCAGGTAGAGATGGGGCCAGAAACCCTTTGTTTAAATTTGCATTTCTAAGAAGTACAAAAGCTTCATTCTGCATGTGCCTGTACAGGAGAGAGTTGGCCATGGGGAGAGGAGATTGATGGAAAACAAGGAAAAGAGGGAGTACATTAGAGAAATATAGGCGTGTGCCAGGTCGGGGGTGGGGTGTGATCTGCAGACTATGTAGCCAAATTTTAGGGGGACGGTGGTGTATGGGAGTTTCCTTAGCAGCGCATCCTGGAGCCACACAGAACAGCAATGGCCAGTGAAGAAGAAGACTGCAGGCTTTCCTGGTCCAGCCTTTCCCCAAACCCTCCTCTGTCCGTCAGCAGAAGAGCAGCTGCACGGGATGCTGAGAGGACAGAAGAAGGCTGTGCCTGGTGTTCCTTACTTCCTCAAGAGGAGCAGCCAAAGGGAGGAAAACTGAAATGGACATGAGGTTCTAGATTTAAAATAAAGTGAAATGGGCCTTAGAAACCGATTTGAGATTGGATGAAAAGTGACAACGATTGAAACATTAAGGCATGTCGCCAAGATGTTGACAGATGTTTCCCATTGGGAAAGCAGGGTTGGAGAAAACAAGATTAGGTAGATATTATAAAAATGCAATTGTTTGGGCCTCCCCAGTGGCGCAGTGTTTGAGCGCTGGGTTGCGAAGCTGCCCGCAGCCTCTGCGGCCCCGGTTCGATCCCCGGCTGCTCCCCGGCCACAGGAGGAGGGTCCCACGTGGCGCGCAGACCTCTCCTGCAGCCCGCTGCTCCCCTCAGCAGTGTACTTCTGTCCTTCTGCCTGCTCTGCTCCCCGCTCTGGCCCTGGTGAATTCTCTCACCCTCCCGTGCTTCTGACTGCACCCAGTGCTTGTATAAATAAATAAATTAAAATAAATAAATAAATAATCTTTTAAAAATGCAATTGTTTTACTATAGAAAGAAATGTAACATAATACCTGTATCATAATTATGTATGCAATGCAATGATATTATATGCATGAACCCTCACAGATATGAAAGTTGCAACTGCTATAGTGTCTGTAACTTCACAGGGAGCCAGGAGGAAATGAATAGAGAACATGGCGTGGAGGATGAGTCTTGAGAAATCGGCGGGGGTTGGGGCAATAGCTACTTAGGAAAGAGGAATTCGGGTGAAGGTAAGAGCTTGAGCAAAAGGGTCAAAAATGGTGGACTGGCAGCAGGGAAATACACAACTGACCAGGAGGACAACTTTGGAGTGCAGACTGGCTGGAATGTTAGTCTGTGTGAGGGGACTGGCAGTTTCCATCAAATAGCGGTGGTAACTGGGGTCAGCCGTGCTGGTGGTGAGCAATCACTTGCTGAATGAAGTCTGAAGGGAGGGACTGCCATGCGAGGGCATCTCTCTTTTATATACTCAGGGATGGGGGTACAGGCAATAAGGATTCCATTTAGAGGGGCCGGTGTGGTCAGAACTGTGTTTCAGGAATACACTGAAGAGCCCCACTCCCACGCAGGGCAGCATAAGCCTCATCTAGAAGGTTTGCCCACAGAACAGCAGCAGAACCTCTTTAACCGGTCACACTCCCGCGTCTGCAGACATTTCCTTTTGATGACCTTGGCTGATCCCCAGCATTAACACTTGCTGAGAGCTACTTCCCACTGCTACTACTACTTCCTACTCCCAGGTTCCTTGTGGCATTTGTAATTTCCAATCCACTCAGATCGAGACTCTGAGGACCCCTGGGGACGCCCCGGGGTCGTCCCGGGGTCGGGCTTCCTCGCCCGCTCCCTCACCCTCCAGACGCCTAGGGGGCGCGCTCGAGCTTCAGCCCGCCTACTTCGCCCCTCTCCGCGCCGGCCTAGGCCACATCCTCGGACCCAGAAGTCGCGTCAGAGTTCCACGTCGGCCAATCAGAACTGTCCATGTACTAGCGGGGGCGGGGCTGCCGAGGTAGGAGGAAGATGGCGGCGGGGGCGAGGTGAGGTGTTGGCAGAAGAAAGGGGTTCGGGCGTGGGGGGCGGGAGAAAGCGGAGCGATGGCCCGCGCCGGCCGCAGGGCCGGATAAAAAGCCGTCGCGCCGCGGGTGTGGGAGGGAGAAGGAGGAGGGCGCCTGGGCGCCGCGAGAGTATGACGGGGCTGTACGAGCTGGTGTGGCGGGTGCTGCACGCTCTGCTCTGCCTGCACCGCACGCTCACCTCCTGGCTCCGCGTTCGGTTCGGCACCTGGAACTGGATCTGGCGGCGCTGCTGCCGCGCAGCCACCGCCGCGGTCCTAGCGCCGCTCGGCTTCACGCTCCGCAAGCCCCCGGCCGTCGGCAAGAACCGCCGTCACCACCGGCACCCGCGGGGGAGACCCGGCCCGGCCGCCGCCCACCCCCGGCTGCGCTGGCGCGCGGACGGCCGTTCCCTGGAGAAGCTGCCTGTGCACATGGGCCTGGTGGTCACCGAGGAGGAGCAGGAGCCCAGCTTCTCGGACATTGCGAGCCTCGTGGTGTGGTGTATGGCCGTGGGCATCTCTTACATTAGCGTCTACGACCACCAAGGTGAGGCTCTGGCGGGTCGGGGACCGCACATCCCTCAGGTGTACCGGTGGCGCCTGGCCCTGCTGCCGCCCTGGCTCGGCCAGTTGCCCTGTCCCGCTGCCCTTAATTGCCAATTGCTGTGCTGACGCTTTCGAGGAAGGAATAAGGTTTATTGAACACGTACGAAGACCCAGAGTTCGAGTCAGTCACTTGCTGTACATCTGGAAAGTAGCTCTTATTCTTTACAGTGCCTCCGCAAGGTAGATGGTGTCTGTATACCGTGTTTGATTTGCCTCATCAAACTTGATTTGCCAAAGTCGTGAAGGGAGGCTGAAATTTTAATCAGTGTGTGCTTTTATAGTGTTTCTTCAGAGAGTGAAGTTCAGGGCGTGTTCTTAACTCGCAGTCAGGTTGTGAAGGATTTCTGTGGCTGAGACCAGGTAATATATGAACTGGGCTTATGAAAAGAATATGAGGCTGGACAGACCGACGGGAAAATGGCCATCTTCTGGCACAGGAGATCTGGGAAGGTGTGCGATCCTTGATCCTCGGTGACCACGTACAGTGCGTGGCACAATAATCGTCCTGTTATTGAAGGAATAAAATTCAGTACCTAATGGGGTGGCTACAAACCTAAATTACTGTGCCTGTTGGAATGTTACATTTAATTTCGTGGACTCTCAGGCTTGTGGTGAATAGACAGTCACATAAATGATATTTTAATAATAAGTATTGGGGGTAAGTAATTACTATGAGAAAAGGGGTGAGAAATTCTCCGTGGAACAACTTTAGAAGCTACTGCAGAGGAGATGGGATTTAAACCCAAGACTGAAGAATGAGGAGATAAGATTGAGAAGACTCTAAAATGTCAGGTTTGGGTTTCAAGCAAATCCTGAAAGCATTGCAATTTCCCTAGAAATAAAGATGTGATAAGTGATTTGGGAGTATTGGGGGCCTCCCCAGTGGCGCAAGGGGTTAAACACAGCGCTGTGAAGTTATCCCCAGCCACTGGCCTGGGAACAACCCACTAGGTGCAGCAGAGCCCTCCTGTCTCTCCTGCTGCTCCCCTCAGCAGTGTATTTCAGTCAGTCTGCCTGTTCTCCTCCCCACTCTGTCTCTGATGAATCCTCTCACCCCCCACACATCTGGCCTGTACCCCAGTTCTTGAGTGCATAAATAAATAAATCTTTTTTAAAAAGTGATTTAGGAGTATTGCTGAAGATAGCTTATGTTTTATCTTCTGTTCTGTAACTTAAATTACTGGTGTGTCCCACAGAAACTACAACTTGATTTCCACCTTTGAGTCTTTGTCAAATAGGTAGATTTGAATGCTGGTTTTGCCAGAAAAGGTGGGTGGAGGTTGGACAGTAACTTTCACAGGGTATTAGAGTGACCTTTGATTAACCTATCACCTTCCTTGCATCCTGTGAGGAATATGGTGACTCAGTGGCCTGTCCTATCAAATGATGGTTTACCCTGTAGGGTAAAGTTTAAAATACTCAGTGTCCAACATTTTATGGAAATTGCCAAATAACTCAGAAGGCCAGTAGATAGAAATCACAAGACTTGTTAGGTGGCGTGACTTGTTAGGTGGTTTAATCTTTGCTTAAACCAATGCCACAGAAATACTGTCTGGGGGAAAAATTAAGTGAGCAGAAATGGAAATTAAAGTCTTTAAGCAACATGGTGAATTGACTTGTAAGTGAAACACTTTTTAAAGCAAGAACCTTTACCTTTTGGTAAAGTGAAAACATGTAATGAGCAGTTTAACTTGGTGACTCTGCCTGCTAGCACAGATTATAGTATTGCCACACTTCCTTGTTCCGGCAATTCCTGTTACTGAATTGCTGATGTGATTCAGAAGTATCCTGTATTATGTTCACTGGGGAAAAAAAAAAGAGATTGTTAATGAAAAGGAAGTCAAGCTAACCAAATGTTGACTGATAACCAAAAGGAGTTTTTGGTGAATGAATTTAGGACACTATGTACTACTATATAAGAAGTGTCAATTTTTAAGAGATGACTGTTTGAATTAAGAAACTTTTGAGTTACTCTTTCTTTGTTTTGATTGATTGGTTGATTCATTTAAATAGGTGACAGTGGACATTTGTTAAGTACCAGGCACTGTTCCTAGCATGGGGGTTCAGCAGTGAGTAAGATAGACAAAAATCTCTGTGCTTACTGAATTTATATTTTAGTGGAAATATGATAAGTACTAGAATTGAATAAAATATGTGGTATATTAGATGATAAGTGAAATGAGGAAAAATAAAGCAGGGGAGGGAAATAGGAATGTGAAAAGTTATTGGTGGTAGAGGGGGTGCATTTAAAATAGGGTAACCACAGAAAATCTCATTCACTTTTGAATAAGTACGGATCTGAAAGAAGTGAGGCAGCAAGCCATGTGGCTATGTGAGGAAAAGTGTTCATTTCGGGGGGTGTAGATTCTTAAGTTTTCCCAAGAAAACTTATTTTAGCCTGTTTATATAGAGACATTTATTTATTTTTAAAAAGTCCTATTGATATGTTGATATACTTAATAATGCTACTAGTACCAACTGTATTATAAAGCACCAGGATACAAAGGAGTACAGGAAATGGTATCTCTTTGGAGTTAAGATATTTCAAGTTAGGGATATCTACTAAAAATTAAGTTAGTGTGTTAATGTTAAATGAGCAGCAGAGATTTTATTTAAGGAGAGAAAAGCCATCTCTGTAATATTCTGCACACTGAAGTGTGACCCTAACACAAGTCTGGGTGCTGTGCTACTTGGATTACATCAAATATTCAACCTTCCTGTTTGTTTTCATGAGTGCGGATAATCTGGGTGAAATCTTAGTATTTCTTACTGTAAACCGAAGTGCTCTGGAATAAGGCATTGCCTTCTATGTGGCTAGTTAGTAGCAAGACAATAGAAATCTTTTGTATTCCTCTTTCTAGTGTTGTTTCCATAGTTGTAAATCTGTAATATGTTCTTATGAAATGGTTTTTGGCTAGAGATTTCTCACCCAAAATTTTAGTAGGTCTGCCCAGCACATTTCTCTCTGTTTTATATACCTTTTGCTGCATCGACATTCAGGTTACTCAATATTCTCTCCTCCTGGAGTGGCTTCTTTTCCTGGCACAAGCTCTGCTTATCAGAAGGCTATCATTCATTGATCCTTGTAAATTCATCCTGTCACCTCTTATAAAGTCTCTCTTGACTATTCAATTCCTAATCTTTTTTTTTAAAGATTTATTTATGCATACAAGAACTGGGTGCAGAAACACACTGCTGAGGGGAACAGCGGGTGAGGCAGGAGAGGTCTGCTGTGCAATGTGGGTAGCTCCCTGGCCAGCCGGGAGATTGAACTCACGCTGCAGAAGCTGTGGATAGCTTCATAGTGCTGAGCTTAACCCGTTGCACCAGCAGGGAGGCCCTCAATTCCTAATCTTGATCTATCTTTGAAGCTCCTCAGAACTTGGTACATCTCTAAATGTACTTGTTCTTTATTTTATAAAGTAATCATATGTGCCTCAATTTTCTTACTAGATTTTAAACTCTGCAGATGCTATTTACTTTTTTTTTTAAAAGATTTATTTTATTTATTTATGCATACAAGAACTGAGGTGTAGTTGGTCTTCCCTGGAATTAAAGATGGCGCTATCAAGCTGTCGCCAGCCACTGCAGCATGAGTTTGATCCCCAGCTAGCCAGGGAGCAACCCACATGGTGCAACAGACCTCTCCTGTCTCTCCTGCTGCTCCCCTCAGCATTGTATTTCAGTATATCTGCCTGTTCTGCTCCCCACTTTCTCTGGTGAATCCTCTCAACCCCCGCACTTCTGACCTACACCCCAGTTTTGTTTTGTTTTTTAAAGATTTATTTATTTCATGCATACAAGAACTGGGTCAGCTCCCTGGCCAGGGATGGAACTCATCCTACAGTGGCTGGAGATAGCTTGATGGTGCTGAGACTTTAACCCCTCCGCCACCAGGGAGGCCCTGCAGATGATACTTACTCTTATTTTTGCTTCTCCTCCAGTGGGTAGCTTAGTGTTAATGCGTGTAATGGTTAGTCAGTATGTGTTCTCTGAATTGAAAGAAGGCTGCATTTCCTGTAGATAAGAATAATACTGAATTGCAATTTGTTTCCCAACATGAATAGCCAGAAGGCTTACAGTAATGGAGGGAGATGAACATAGTTTGCCCTAGTTTACTCACTTGGCACACTGACACAGATGCTATTGGAAATATGTTATCATTAAGTATTCTTATGTTGAAAGAGTTTCAGGAAGTGTTGAAAATCTAAATATAATGTGATTACATTTTGTTATAACAAACTATATGAATTAGAATACTTCCATCCCCTCATGTAAAGGAACATCCTACTCATAGTCTTCACATTTGTTCAGCTCACTTCTGTACAGAATTTTACATTTATCTTAGCATCCTCTGGTTAAAGCACTCCCTCTTCTCTTTTTTTCTGCCAGAGGGCTGACTACCTATCAGAAGGCTGTTACTGATCTTTGTATATACCTTGTGACTATTGCCTTTTTGGTAGCTACACTAGACTGATCTAGCCCCAGTTTTGCTCTGTCTTTGAAAAAAGCTTTATTCTGTTTTTATTCTTTTGAAAAGATCTCATTCACTGAGTTTTATTCTGTTTAACCATAATACTATGAAAATAAACTTTTACTTAATAGCAATAATTGTTGATTTTGTAGTGTGTACCAGCCACTATGCAAAGAAGTGCATTAAATCCTTAGCAGTTTTACAAATCAGGAACCAGGCTTAGAAAGTCAAGAATCCTTATCTAGTAAGAAGCAGATCTAGAATTTGAACCAGATTTTATTTCAAAGCTTTTGTACGTAACCATTATGTTATACTGACTTCCACTTGTAAGAGAAAGTGACCACAACACAGTCACTTTAGTACTATTTCTGATTATGTTGGGATTATGTGAAAGTCCTCGTACAGCAGTACTTATCTACAGGTAAGTAGTGATAGAAAGAATTTTTGTAAAAGATATTTAAAGGGAA